GTCTCGATGTGCCGGTATTATACTTCTGAAGCAGCTAATGCATTAGCTGACTGCGTCTAACCACTAACATGAACTCGCGTTTAGCGCATGCCTAATCCAACGGCCATTTGCCAAAGGTGGATGAAGTAATGCGATTTAATTTCATTCAGGGTTTAGCAAGCTGGAACAAATCAATGAATATTAATGTGCATGCTTAATTGCAGGCGTAGCCAAGACCCGGGTTAATTCGAAAAGAGCCACAAAACCCTGCGGAGAGGGTCTTTTTATTGTCTAATTCCCGTTTCGATGAGCTGTTCAGAGGGCGCAGAGCGAGGCCGCCATTTGGGCGTGCTCACAGAAGTCAAGGACTCCTGACTGAATAATAGCAGGCTCGGGCTCGCATGAATCGGTACAGCACTGATTGAAAACACCTCTTCACTATGCACTGGCCAGCCTGCTCCCGTGCGTGGGTCGTTCCATTGGTAACACGATTGCATACCATCATCTATCAAGCGAAGCTATCGTCACGAACACGTATACGGGTGACGTCACTGCTACGGCGAGACGCATGCTAAGACTGAACCGGCATGGTGACGATTGCTGCCGCGCTACCGGAAATGGAGAATTACGCTGGAGCTGACACTGCCAACTGGCAATGTTTTAGTACCGTCTGCTGCATACTTAATGTCTGACAAGTGATGTCTAGTTCAGCTGAGCGTTATAGATATGACGTCGTATGACGGATAATTTGTGGCGCCGTCAGTCATCCCGCAGTATAGTTGTATATCGCTACTGTATTGGACCACACCTATTTTTGTAAGGACACCACAGAACATCGGCACAGCCCGCGTGCACATGAAGAAACTAACCGCGAGGGAAAGAGATGCGTCCAAACCCCACCAAGTCGGTGTCAACGGTTGTCCGAGCAGGAGCCAGCCGTGACGCTGCGATCTCACCACGCCGCCTCGCGCGCCTCCCGTCGGGAGACCACAGGAGGAGGCCGCTCGAGCTAATCAGGACAGGGTGGGCGTGCGCTGGCCCACTGCCCAGTGAGAGCAAAAACCCTGCCCGGGCACACGCAACAGGCCCATTAGACCATCATGCGGACCATCGGAGCCGGACCAGTCCGGCCAGACAACCGCTGCCAGCCCGGAGCTGTCGGCTGGTGCTGTCTGACAGTCGCCGGATGACGCGTTTGTCGGCGCCGACCATTCACGGGATGCTTACAGTTGTGCAGGTATGATCGTGAGGTGAGGCACACCGCCGAGGTAAGGTGAAGTGAGGTGAGGCACACCACCGTGGTAAGGTGAGGTGAGGCGAGGTGAGGCACAAAACTGTGCATCTGGAACAGTCGTCCGACTCGGGTCAGTGTCGGCTTCGCGGGAAGTTCAGCTCGGAGAACAAGTGTACTAGCGAGTGACGAGCCGCCGCGCCTCCTCCAGGCCACCAGGCGCTGTGGTGCGTCTGACGACTCTCATTACTGCTCGAGGGCTCTGGAGGTGACCTTATCACCAGCTGGCTGCACGACCACGGCGGGGCTGTGTATAAGTGCGTAACAGTTATAGCGTTGGCAGGAGTGACCTGCGCTCGAGTACCAGACACTGAGCTAAGGCTTGTCTCGTCCGGAATTCTGGACAGGTTACTCTTTCGAATTGCAGGCGACGGGGCCATCCAGCGGCGCGAGGGCTGTAGTTCCTTGCTCCTCCGTCTAGCCGTCATGGCACAGGCGGGTTGTGGAGAATTAGCAGGTGCGATACACAACTTAGCAGCTCGGTCACACCGCAGGCAGCGTTGATCCCGGTGGGGACTTAAAGGCCTGAGCGGGATAAGTATCGAAAGCATGGCAACAAGGTCTTGGGCGCAGTAAATCAGAGCGACGAGACCATTTATTTTACACAACCCGGCAATTTTCCATCCCTCGGCAGTGCGGTCGTGATTATATCTAATGAGCACGAGCTGAACAATTTTCCACAGGTATAAGGGTAATTGAAATACGTGGCCGACTCACGTGTAAACGCCATAACGGCCGGGCACCGCCCCTCAGATGGTGTTTGGGACAAATAACAAGCCATCTGCCAGGCAACCCCTATCTTCGGGGCTATCTAGAACATGCAATCGACGCCGTCGGATTGTGCCTAAGGGGCCTGTGTGACCCTTCCCCGCGGTGAAGATAAGCATGGAGCCATATCTTGTCGCCCGTTGTTTTGGTAGTTTCGTTCAGTGTCTCTTCGGTAGCAATACAGACGAAAAGAAAGGGTCGATGCTCACGTGATACAGGCGACTTATGCGTGAGCTGCTCTCTGGTTTATCTGATGCTTGACACCGCACACGCATATGAAGAGGACGCAAGCTTGGAGTCAGTGGCTCTTATCGGACATCTTACGGACTGCATCACGTGTGTCGGCCCCCAGGCAGGGCCATCACAGCTTGATGTCTCGAAGGATGACTTCATCATACCAGGCCACCCGGCTGCGGTGACACCGTGCGTAAGAAGCATAAGATTATCAGAGGCTGACCGAGGTTACGTGGTTTGTCAAAGACCATATAGCGCCCTTTTCGCCAGGGATCCAGAACAGATATCCTTCCAAAGTGTTACACGGTTCCGATAAGCGTGGTTGACAAGTATGGAATGGTTCGCGCATTAGCGGCCACACCAGATTGGTTTGAAATCGTATCGCTTTGTATCGGACATCGCCAGCCGTTTTTGATTACCGCTCAAAAACTGAAAGCCTACTTTGGTGGCAGCGTGTTGTAGTGATATTACAGTAGAACGAAAATAGTAAAGTTACATTACTGCTCACCAAGGAGTGCTTACAGCTAGCCCCGTCCGTGGTCTTGATCCCATTATCACAAACTTAACTGGAACACGCGCTATGCGTGGGAAACGCCGAGGCAGACGCTAGCTCAGGAAAGAGTGCACAGGCTGTGGCCTCTCACAGCGCCGCATCGCACC